ATTCTCTTCCCCAATGGGAGGTAAATCAGAATTCTGGATAGATAAAATTATTTCAAGCAGTAACTTCAAACATTGTACTCAAAAAAGAATGATAGTGACCATCCAGTCAATTCTTTTATTTTGCATTAAGAGCCACATTGAGACCTAATGAATCTATCATTTGGTTAAACTGGCCAAATAATAAGCTAGTTAGTTGCAAAGCTAGAGCATGAAAATTGGTTTCCTCTGTCCAGGCAAAAGCATGTCCCATTATGGAGCACTATTTTCTACCTCCTTACTTCCCAGTCACTAAAATTTTTATAGTATTTTAAAACTTGAAACCAAATTGACTTATTTTAAATCTCATCTCACTTCATGTTGCTCCTCACTTTATAAGCTCATCTTCTTGATGAGGAGTAGCTAAGAAAAATTGGATGGGGGAAAAAAATAGAGTGGAAACTAATAGGTTATAAATACCCGATCAAATTGTAAAGTCAATTTCCACTTTTAAAACTAAGAACTGTTTTCAACAGTTTGTCCCCCTTTACATATTCTATTACATAAAATGTGGCTTTGTAATTTATGCTTACAAATATTCTTAAATACAGGGTGAGGCAAAAGGTTTACAGTTGTGAACACATGAAACACAGAGTTTATTCTTATATTACTATTTATTAATCGTTGTATTATTTTCCACATGAACAACTGTAAACCTACTTTTGCCATACCATGTATTTTCTACTCTGTTTATCACTTTGGTTTTACCTTTTGCATATGTCATGAAAACAACTAGGTTTAAATGTTAATATATTAGTGTTTTTTCTACATTAAAATTATAACTCATGTACACAAATAAGTTGGTTTTAGCTGATATTTTATTTATTTAAAAGTAAAATAACACAGCAGGGTATTTTAGATTCTTAAATATTAAAGCATAAAACACTGATCCGAATAAGTCCCCTAATATGACTATTATCTACAAAATTTAACACTTCAAAATATATCAGTGTTTACATGAAATATTTGTTTAATTTATCAGAGACTTCAAATGTAATTTATAGTGGAAGAAGGTGGAATATATGAAATAGTCAAGCAGTACTAAAGATAACATATGAATGTTTGTAGTTATTAGAAAAATAGTGTATTTACAGAATTTCACTTCCTCTTAAAAATTTATTTATATGCTTTTATACCTCAGCCTTTTGAAAATTCTCATTTTCAATTGATATATATAGCCATGGCAACTACTCAATTTTCTTTAATTATTGATGAATAAGGTTTAAATATTCATTTTATGCTTTCTTGTTAACCACTGTCTTTATAACTCAATTAGAATAAAATAGGTGCTTGAGAACCTTAATGTTGAAATTGCACTTTGATCATATGTGTGTGTTAAATTAGCTTAAATGAATTAAGTGATTCTGTGATGAGTCTTTAGCTTAGGTGAAAATATCCTTTGACTTTTCTCAATAATAAAACCATTAAGGAATTTAGGATTCAAACCCCCTATCAGAAATGTGTGTATTTCAGGACTATTGCACATGTGGGGGCTAAAATATAAATATTTATTTGACTAAGTAGTAAAATTTAATTATTATTTCAAATAAGTTGTTATTTTGTGACTCTTCAGAATATAAAATAATTATTTCCATTTTTATTTAAATTAGTTCTACACTTTCCCTTTCTGGGCCATGTCTTTTACAAAGAGGATTGGCAAAGCATGTAGAGAAAATAGTTGATTTTCAGTTATGGTTGTTTCATTCTATTATGTTTGTTTGTAGAATACTCCAATGAATGATATCTGATATATTTGCTGGATGTGACTGCTTACTTTAAATCCAGGACTAAATTTGAGTTTCCTTTGGACTGCATTTGGGTTGAAGGTTATATTATAATCCTCTTGCTTTCCTTCCCATCTTTCATTGCTTCTTCTTCCCATGAAAACTCTAAAATTGTCTCTCAAAGGGATAATAAGTAGCTATGGGGAAAACATCTTTATCCTTACAATAGTAACCTCTCGGTCAGCATTTGTACAACTTGTTAATTGGCCCTGAAGTGAATTTGGTGGGTCATGTCTGGCATTTGTATTTATAAAATTATATAATAAAGAGAAAATACCAGATTGCCTCAGAGGTAGTAGAGTTAAATATTTTTCTATTAAAATTTGTTTCTGTACATGTGTCTGTGTATGTAAGCATGTGCGAAAGTGAGCGCTGGGCTATATGTAAACTAGATGAAAACTATGGATGAACTTTAGGTGTTGTGGTCCGAAACTCTAGTCTAATCAGGAAGTTATAGTGAATATCTTCCTCTGGCCACAACAAGTACATTCATGAAAATGTATCTGACCTTTCAGATAATACTTTGTTCAAAACAGGCACTGAGCACTGTAAAGAAAAGTCCAGAGATGCAGACACCCCGCTCTCACTGTCAGACATGCTGTTCATGGATAATCGTCTGAAATACGCGGCAGCAGTCTGGGCCCTCAGAGTGCAGATATGTTGAATATGGAAACTGCATGGCGTACGGAGCCATGGATTATTTGGAGGAGACAGAGAATGGGTGTTATGCCAGCCAGCGAGTCCCCTCATTTCAGGAATCCTTCGAGCATCCTCTTACTGTCAGGCTTAGAACATCATGAATAAGAATGATACAGTTTTCCCAAGTTGTTTTTGTTTTTGTTCCCTGAGCTGAAGCAAGTGTGTTCCATCAATAAAAAGGCATCCAGGAAAAGTTACATATTTTTAAAAACATATTTCCACTGTTGTAAAACTTTGTTGTTGTTCACTTGCTCTGTGTCTTTTAACAGTTCTCTCTCTGAATATTGTATGTTCATGTCCAGTAAGCCTTTTTGAACTAAATTGGAAAACAGGGATGGTACACTTTTAGCTTAAGAACACTAGTCACTGCTCATTGCATACAACTCTTTGCTTACCAAATATGTGGGATTTTTTAATATTAACCTTTTCTCTTGTCATTAACATTTACTCTGTTTCATCATTTTCTACCTTAGCCTTAACTGCTGCAAAGGATAGGAATCAGCTGTTAAACCCAGTGCTTAAGGCATTTTGGACAGCTAAAAATACACGTAATGAAATTGTATTTAGAAAAGTTTCACCACTGTCTGTCAAAATTATATATTTCATTCCCCCCGAATGATATGTTTTACATTTTTCTAAGTAGGATCTGATGCTACCTACATGTCACAAAATGAGTTTTCCTCTCGATGCTTGCACAGATGTGAACAGTAAAAATGAGTACTTTGTTGTTCTCCCTTTTTGCTGCCTCCTTCTGAAATGCCTATTACAACTCCCCTCTTTGGAAGGCCAGAATAGCAATACCTTTGAGTGTTGCTCCCCTAGGAGCTTTCTTCAATCCTTTCTGTACAAGTCTAGAGAGACAAATGTCTTCTTAATGGCTTGGCCACCTGCACAGCCTCTGCCAGCAGCGCCCATGCCCTCCCCTCTCACAGAGACAGATCCCGTCACCCTGCCCCTTCTGCTGAGCTTTGGAATGCTCCTGGGCACCAGACAGAGACTGGCAGCCCTGCGGCAAGAGGTAGCGTTCACATTCATCACAGGCCACATTTTCATTTAGGGTGTGTCTCAGGTATTTGATGAAACACCTAAAATGCATCTTTCTGCCCACACTGCGCTTTCCTTGCCTGTCCCTACTTCTGTACCTGCCTTGTCTTCAGGTCTCTCCTGTGTATCTGCCCCTAAACCCCGAGGCTCTGTGTCAGCGGGTGGCATCATGACAGGCATTTTCTAATCCACTTTCTCTCTTTAGATTCCTGCTGCTCTGTGTTATGGTCTCGACTTGAAAGATAAATCAGTGATAATCTAGTAAAGGGTCAGTGTGGTGTCCTTCTCTGGTGTCATATTTGCATTTTTACAATAACCTCTCTGGAAATAGAATATGGGTGGATTTCTGAGTAATCTGGTGGTGGAGGATGAGGTTTTGATGAAATCTGCCTTCTGTCTTTCATTTCTTCTTTTAACGGATTCTGCAAATGTGCTTTCTGTGATCCTCAATTAATCCCATGTGAATGTCTACTCTTCATTTTATGCTTAAGGCCAGGATTCATATATGTTTATAAATTCCTAGAATTATTTTTCCTCTTATATTTGTAGTGAGGGGAAAGAAATTTATCCATTCAGATACGTAGCTAATTTGGTTTAAAAAAAAAAGTAGACAGCAAATTTGACTTGGTCTTTGTGATTAATCATGGCACACAGCATTTGTTCAGTGCTTATTATAAACTAGATATAGATTAGTATCATTTTACTTAACACTCAGAGCAACCATTTGAGGTAGGTCATATTATTACGCCCATATTAGGAATGAGTGAACTGAGACCTTAGTGGTTAATCGATAGATTCATATGGCTAAGAGTGATGAAGTCAGTTTTAGATATAGATAATATGTCCAACTGTTGTACAAAATAAAAGCAATTAATTCAGCCTCTCTGACTTTATTCCAGGGAGTGGTATAGAATGTCGATTTCTCCTTTCTCTCTTTTTCTTTTTGACTATTAGAGAATGATCTAGAATGCCAATTCCTTCCTTCCTTCCTTCCTTCCTCCCTCGCTCCCTTCCTTCCTTCCTTCCTTCCTCCCTCCCTTCCTTCCTTCCAAGAGGCATACCTCAGAGATATTGTGAATTTGGTTTCAGACCACTACAATAAAGTGAGTATCACAATAAAGCAAGCCATAATCTTTTTGCTAGTACAGGATCTTGCCTGTATTTTGTGAAATATGCAACATCTATGACACACAATAAAGTAGAATTCAATAAAACAAGACATGCCTGTAGAAGCGTTTTACTTACAGTCTGCCTTATTTCTAAAGTCACTCAATTCCATGGGTTTCTGTTTCTTCCACTGAGAAGTATATGACATCAGGAAAAAAAACAAAAGTAAAAAATGCGCCCTCAAGGAATTCACCCTTAGGCAGATGAAAAAGGGAAAGGGTGATGTTTAGAACATGATGTAAAGACCTGTGTGTCTCATCTTTGCAACAGGTACCATTTCTGTCAACACGCTGCGCACACCCTACACTGCTCCCGGCGAAAGCGAGATTCTGGACCTGGACGATGAGCTGTACCTGGGGGGCTTGCCAGAAAATAAGGCCGGCCTCATCTTCCCCACTGAGGTGTGGACTGCTCTGCTCAACTATGGCTACGTGGGCTGCATCAGAGATCTGTTCATTGACGGCCAGAGCAAAGATATCCGGCAAATGGCTGAAGTTCAAAGTACTGCTGGAGTGAAGCCCTCCTGCTCAAGGGAAACAGCAAAACCGTGCCTTAGTAACCCTTGCAAAAACAATGGCATGTGCAGGGATGGGTGGAACAGATATGTCTGCGATTGTTCCGGAACAGGCTATCTTGGCAGGTCCTGTGAGAGAGGTAGGATTCCCAAAATCAAACAGCTGACTCCCCGGAGTTGAAAAATGTATTAAATATTGACCTTAAACTTGAAATGGACCGTGGAAACATAATGTATGCTCTGCTGAAGTAAACTGTCTGCAAGCTGAGCAGCCACACCTGACATGTTACTGAGGAGTCCTTAATGATTTTCAAGGGACCCGATTCTGGGAAAACAGTTCTTTAAGTATGTTTCAGGCATAAATAATATTTGGATCTTTTGTATCCTCTAGGGTATGAGCCTAAGATGTATAATAAACAATAACTGTTCTCTCTTTTGCCCAGTTTTTCAATTTCAGAATACTAGAAAGTAAAGAAGGCATGAGTTAGATATAGTTATGGCATCTGGTGCTAATATCTATACCCTGCCCCCTGAAAAAGTAGCATTTGAAGTAAGCTAAACTGGAAGTGGCAACTTCCCTGACACAATTGCATGGGATTTAGGCGAGCCTGCTCATTTTACTTCGGTCAACTGACCCAAGTTTGACATTTGAAAAGTAAGCTCAGGCCTCATCACAGACATTTCATTTACATATTTGATATGAAGCCTTTGTGCGTCTGTTAAAGCTCTGAGCAGGTACCTCCATTTCCTTCTCTATTGGGAAGAAAAGCGACATGTTTTTCTTCTTTTCCCCTCCCATTAGAAGGAGAAGAGCAAGAGTTAAAGGAAGAGTGAAGGGTGATAGCTGTCACAGTTCATCTGCAGACCAGACTAAAGGAAGAAATAGCAGAAAAATAGGTCTAAGCATGTCCTTCTATCGACCTAAGAGTTTCAGATAAATGCTTTGGTCTCTACACCCACTGCCACGCATTTTCAACAGTGGAACCAAAAATCTATATGAAAAAATACTGATGAGTTTTTCCATTGTCCTCTCACATTCTACATAACATTGTTCTTTGAGCCATTAACCTCAAAGTAGCCAACATCTATTTTTCAGCCTTGCATATTTAGTCTTTCCCCCCCCTTATTTCAACAATAGTTTAACTCATTTCAGCTAATACTTTCTAAAGAAAAAGTGGTAATTTTCTAGAACCCAAAGTTGAAATGTGACTGATTCTTACTCTTCATTAGGAGGTTTATTTTACTATTAATATGTAAATTAATAAAAATAACTTAATAATCTAATAATAATTTCAAATTACCTACCAAAAATACTATCTCTGTTCTGTTATAGAATTAGATAGACCAATAGATGAGTAGGTATTTTAATCACATAGATTCATGCATTCCCCTAGTACCTAATTGCCATTGTTGTGAATTGTCATTAGAGGTAAACTATTTCTGTGCAGTTTTCATTTGTAAGGTGTATAGTCTCTGTAAGTTTCCTCTTCTCATGTTTCCTTCTAATCGGTTTGTTTGCGTAGTTTGGTTTTGGTTTTTAGAAATTGCCAAAAGGGGCCAATGATAACAACAAAGCGACAAAGCTCACAAGATGTATTACAGCTAGGTATAATGTAAGTTAAGCAGAGCTGTATGATTTAAGGTTTTGTTTTAATTTTAATCACTCAGAGAGCTCTCGGATGCTCTGATGCTTCCCACTCAAGTGTAGCTGGAGAAGGATATAACTGAACTGTCGCATGAATTACAAAAGCCTTCAGTTAAACATGCATGGTGTACCACCCTGTGGCAGTGTTCTGCTACTACATACAGCAGAAATAAAAATAGAAGTTGTGGAGCTTCCGGAGCCCGAATGAGGGAAGGGGAATACTTATACATAGAGCAATAATTAGAAGGAGGGCAGCAAGCGTATGCAGATTTGCAGATGAGAATTTAATAGCAAACTTCATCCCTGGGATTTGCCATATATTTTTATCTGACAAGTGGCTGGAAATTTCTTCAGATTTGTTTGTCTCCAGGTTGGTTGCATGTTGAGAAGGAAATGGTCATTTTAGTGTGTTTTTTATTTCTGGACTACCCAGCATATTGTGAGAAGTCTTTGCTTTTCAGAATTAATTTCCTTGCTCATATTATGGCATCTCCTGAGAACAGGGTGATGGGGGATGCCTGCCATGCTCAGTAGCACAAAATTTGGCTCCCATCCAGTCCCCAGCTAGGCCCTAGTTCAGTCAACACAAGATCATGCCCAACCTTCGGGGTTTCCAATTCAAAAGAAAGGGATTTTCTCTAGGCAATCTCTAATCACATAAGACTGTTGACCAAGTAAGAGTTGACTGACAGCTCTTGAAGTTAAAAAAAAATAATTAAAGGCCCTTAGAAAGTTTCTATTTTATTATTATTAAGCAATAATGATAATTTATAAAGATAATTATTCAAAGTAATTAAAAAACGTGTTCAAGTCCATGGACAACACAGCATGGGGAATGAAGCTGCAGTCTCATTCTACGAAATCTTCATTTTGCATTAAGTAAGCAAAGGAGTTTGTAAGAAAGAAGAGAGTATCTGCTGACTCAGGAAAATAGTATTTTATTTCATGTGTATTGATTCCATCAGGAAGAATACTATATAAGTACTGTTCAATCGAATATAAGGTCAATGCAGTACCTTCCCTCCTGCTTCATTTTTAATAAAACTCAGAATTTGTAGAGACTTGCTCATATAAAGATTGTTCTTGGTTATGAGTCTATGGTATAATTAGGGGTCTACTTTATACTTGTTTGTTAAAACTCTAACAGATGGAGGGACAGATGTCAGAGCAATATAATTTGGCTCCCTGTCTGATTTTCATCGTTGATCACAATATGTGACTGCCTTTCGGCAAAGCTGAGCACAGGTGTACACTTTAGGCTGCAAGAAGGAACGACAGAGAAGAGCAAATTTATCAAGCTTAATGACAAGGGAGAAGGAGAGAGAGGAGACAGAGCTGAAACTTTTTCTCCCCCACTGGGAAGTATTGCGTTGGAATTAGCCTTTTAAAGAACATTTTTGTGTTCTAAATGATAAAAAATGTCACCACTGTTATAAAAGATGCTGCCAAATAACATAACCTTCAAACGTCAGAATGTTGTTTACCATTTATTTGGTGACTCTAGACTACAACCTTGTGCATTTTCCATTTCTTGTCTAATTAAAAATTAACTCTACTGATGAGTAATAATTTAGGCATTTATTTGTTGTTTATCAGTAAGTTATTTTCACATTGAGAATTTTTTAAAATGGCACTTGGGGGCCCGCAAGTTTTATTATTTTTCTGTTATTTCATTCCTGCAGCTTTTTGGAAAATGCTAAAGGCCAATGATCCTAATTATTTTTCTACTCTGGATAGTATTTCCTGCTTTATGATCTATTGTCAGACCTCTATATTTCTAAAAGGATGCCCCCCCCTACTTAGCTTTTAATCAAATTAAGCTACATTTTATAGAAGAATATGAGATCATTTAAAAATATAATTATTGAATAATAGAGACTGGATTTACATATTAAATACATTTGAGAAAACTGAAAAATATTTTAATACTTTTATCTACATAGTAACTGAACAATTGGCAATGGCTTTTAAACTTTCATTTCATATATTGTTTTATAGATAGGGACAATGATTGGCTCTATTTCAGGATAAGGAGTCGTAAAGATCAAACTTCTTTAAAAATTATACTAGAAACATTTTTTTTTAGTGTTAACTGCAACTTTGCAGTTCATGTTTTAATATTTCTTGAGCAACTGTTACTAGATTTTCTGCATTAAATTCTGTCTTTTGATATTGTATCCATTTGGGAAACTTCTTACCTAATTGGAAAATGTAGAAGCACTATATTTTAAGAAGGTTATATTTTATTTTCCCAGTATTTAAGTCAGTGCCTAGCCATGGGACCCCTATTTTTAGTAAACAGACCCCTCTCCTAATCTATTTTATGCAGCACATTCTGGACTTCAAAGTATACTTTAGTAAATATTTTGTTCATATTCATTACCAAAATTAGATTCCACTTACGATAGGCAAAATAAATATTATTTCTTTTTTAAAGGTTTTATTTATTTATTTTTAGAGAAAGGAAGGAGAGAGAGAGAGGGAGAGAAACATCAATGTGTGGTGGCATCTCACACGCCCCCTGCTGGGGACCGGCCTGCAACCCAGGCACGTGCCCTACACTGGAAATCAGACTGGTGACCCTTTGGTTCACAGGCCTGTGCTCAGTCCACCGGGTCACAGCCGCTAGGGCTAAATACTTTACTTCTTTAGTGAGCATATATGTAAGCTTGATAACCCAACTCAAGGAAGTTCTTTCATATATCTTCAGTACTGAGTGCAATCATTAATCCAATGAATCTTTACTGAGACTCTACTCTGTGCCTGGCACCGTGGAGGCGCTCAGGTGCTGACAGAACAGTGAGTGGGAGAGTCGAACTTCTGCCCTCATGACACTTCAACAGTTACATTTTAAAAGGCAAAAGCAGATGATGTTATATAAACAAAAAAGAAATGTTAATTTAAAAAATTAAACAGTAATTAGATATAGACTAACTGGAGGGGACTGAAGGGTGCTTACAGAGTATCTCTCTGATGTAACGTTTGACCAGAGACCTAAATGTTGAGGGAATGGGCCATATAAAGATCTGGATTGAAACCTTCTAAGACAGAGTGCAAATGCTTGAGAGCTGAAGGCAGTGTGGCTGGGGTTTGCTAAATGAGGTGGGGTGGTGGTGCTAAAAGCTGAGGTCAGAGAGACAGACCGGGGCCAGGTCACAGCAAAAGGTTAAAAAAAGGAGTACAGATTTCATTCTAATTGTGCTGGAAATCTATTGGTGGAGGGTGCAGGAAGGTGGAGGATTGTTTAAGCAATAAAGTGACAGAACCTTATTTACTTCTTTAAAATTTTAGCTTGGCTGCTCTGTGTAGGGACAAAGTGTGGAAGTAGGGAGACTGTTAAGGAAGCTTTTATAGTGGTCGAGATGAGAGACTGGAGCAGAGCCTGAGGTGCTTTAGTGGTGGTGAGGGGAAGAAGCCATCGATTCAGGAAATGGATGGGAATTAGTGCCTTTAAGAATTGCAGATTTGCAAATAGATTGGATGTGGCAGAGAGGGTAAGAGAGAAATGAGAAAGGTGAAGGTCTGAAGGGTTGTTATCATTTACAGAGATGGAGAACTTTAGAGAAAAAAACATGATGAGTTTGTTCATTTTGTGTGGGTGTGGGGAGTAAATAAAGAATTCAGTGAGGTTCCTATGATATTCAGTTTGGAGATGTTCAATAAGCAATGCGTGAGTGACTGGTGGTGGAGCTCAAGAGCGAAATCAGGGCTGTTAATAAATATTAGGGGGAGTGAGCCTGTGCGTTAAGAGAGATCCTCTGAATCATGAGGTAGACAGAGAAGAGTGCAGGCAGAGATGACCCACAGTGCTCGTTGGTTCTGGAGGTGCGTTCCTTCTCATGGCTTTCCTCGCTGTTTGAAAAATAAACTTGCAAAAAACAAAACTTCAGAAATGCAGTCTTTATAATAAACACAGTCGCATTTGTGAAGTTAATTGCTGTGTCACGTACATAGGCAGGATAATGAGAATTTCCTAGTTTATTTTAAATCGAGGTAGTTTTTTCTTTTATTAAATGGTATCCTGAGGTATGAGAACCAATGAGAAGGCAGCATGACTCATACTTGTTTTGCAGTGTTCTACCACCATATGGTGTTTAACATTCTGGGGTGCTGACGATTTCTTAAAGCAGTCAGTTTGTGATTAACAGTTTTTGCTATTTACTTTTTTATGTGTTTCATACTGTATCAAGAAACTTCCCTATTAAAGTAATCCACATTACTTTTAGATTCACAAACACACACAAGCTCTTCAATCCCACCCTGTTCTTATGCAGTATAACCAAGGTACATAGTAACTGACATTTTGGTAACAGTTTAGTATTTTCAGCGTACCAGGGGTTGTGCTTACAGATATTTTTAACTGCTAATTAATTGTTCTTGGAATCATGGACTTGTAAGGTGAACAAAGGCCTTAAAGATCCTCTTGTAGCAGATGAGATCCTCTCAGAGCCAAGACTGATTTTACAGAGCTGGTCAGTGGCCTAGCCACATCTTATGTAAACAGGCATTAAATAGTTGCTAGTGCTTCAAACCAGATTCACACTGTGGATACACAAAAGAATCAATCTCTGTTCTTGAGAAGAGACACATACCTAAACATTTATAATCCATCATGATCAGTGCTGTATAGGTAGAAAGTGCTATGGGAAGCAAAAGGAAAAGTGTAGCCATATCTTCTTCTGGACTTGAGCAGATACTTCACAGAGGAAGTTCTCCCTACTCTGTCTTCCCTTTCCAGCTTAAAAGAAATTGCTCATTTCTGAAGAAGGTGAGCTGAGCTTGTAGTCTTGTGTTCTAACTGGAAGACTTTAGTAGGTCACGCTTTCCCTTTTCATGGTATAAATGAACTAATCTGACCAAGAATGTTCATATCCATTTCTCATCTCTAGAGGCGACAGTTTTGAGCTATGATGGGAGCATGTTTATGAAAATCCAGCTCCCCGTGGTTATGCACACAGAGGCTGAGGATGTGTCCTTACGGTTTCGATCCCAGCGTGCATATGGCATTCTCATGGCAACCACCTCGAGAGACTCGGCAGACACCCTCCGCCTGGAGTTGGACGCAGGGCGTGTGAAACTGACGGTCAACCTAGGTAACAATGCACCTTCCCCCATTGAACTAACACTCTTCACTTTTTGTTTAGTTCTGCCTGCAAACATTTATCAAGTAGCCTGTTTGCTATGGAAAGTTAAAAAAAAAAACACACTTAATGGTCTCATTTCCATCATTTAAATTAATTTAGGTTTTTGGGGCATCCTTTTATTGTTTTTTGTTGTTGTTTTTGTTCGTGTAACATAATTTACTGTTTTGTGATTTCTGCCACCGAGGGTTCTTAAAAGGGAAGCTATATGTATCAATCAGTTTAATTGAAAATATAAATTATTAGGCTTCAATATGCCTCAAACCGAATTCCCCATTGTCATATTTACTGATATTCTGATTGGCTATAAACAGTATCCTTGCAGATACATTTACTGAGATAACATGTGCACCAAATATCAAATTTCTACTTTGTGATCTAAATCAACAGTTTTTCTTTATTCCTTGGGCTTCTCCTTTCAAAAATTGCCTTGGTGGTGCCTCATCTTTTCTGTTTGGAAATACTGTGTGGTGATACTTTGCTATCAACAGCAATCCACAACCCTTCAATGCCCAAAGTCTGCGGCCCTCAGCAAACAGCCACGAGAACACTAAAAACACAGGCTCTTCTACAGAAAAATAATGCTTTCCTGCTTAGTTAGAAATTAAGAAAGAATCACTACAGTAAAACCTCAACGACCTACATGAAACATGGGGGAAGGGCAGGCTGATTATGAAAATGTCTGCATTGTAGAATTAACCAAAATTAAGCAGTTTTGTCTTCAATTGCATTTAAAAACACAAATTAATGGCTGAAAAAATTCTCTTAAGGGAAGGTCTTACTAGCTTGATTTTCATAGCAGGATAAGAATTGTCCATAATTAGCACATTGTTTCATGCAAGTTGTATCATCAATTTATAGTAAAGTACTTGGACTTGGTTTTTTCCCTAATCTTGGCCTTTCACAACTTGTTTATTTGTTTTGTTTTGTTTTGTTTTTTTCAAGTGATCTGTGCTCATACTGAATGGTTTTAATAATCTGCCCAATAAATTTCAATATCACCATTAACTCCAAGAGGAGTACAAATTAATGAGGTTTTACTGTATTTCCTGGAAGTGAGAAACACACACAAAAATTAATAAGTAGAAAAAACAAATAAACAGAGAAAATTTTGAAACTATTTTAGAAAAAAAGAGTAGTAAAATGTGATGAGGTAAGGCATTTGTAGAAAGCTCACCTACATTTTCTAATTGTGCTGGGCAGAATGGTAGCTCATAAAATATAAAGGTATTTCATGGATAGCTTATTGCATACAATTACATCCTCTTAATATTTGTTAAATTAAGTTAACGATAAGAGTGTTTTTTTAAGGTTACCTAACGTACAGCACTTGTTTACTGTTCTGTTAGAGTTCCCTCTAGTGACAGTGATAGGTTACTACAGCCAATCAAAACTGCCTAATTTCAGTAGGGGGCTGCTAGCCGAAGCATAAACACTCATGGGAATTGTACAACAGCAAAGCATTCTGTGGAAAGAGTTGTGTAGGTGCTGGTCCTTGGCTGTTTGCAACCACTTTTCTGATGCGGTTGACGACACATGACAAACTCAGCTATATGGAAACAGAATCTAGGTTTATATTTATTTATGTTCCCCAAAGGCATTAAATACTACAACCGAAAGCAACAAATATTTATCTAAACATAAAATAAACATAAAACATCCCACATAGTCCTTTAAATATGACCCTTCTAATCACAGCCTGTGTTATTTATTTCATTCTGTTCTTAGAGAATCTGCTTTTATATAAGAAGCAAGTATAAGAAAAGGAAAATCAAAAGCAGTGTTAACCATGACATTTACTGCATAGAGATAACATTGTTAGCCTGGAAGAGAGGCATAGACGTGTGTTCTGAAGAATGACACTACTCCTTACCCACTAGAATTTCTAAAAGAAACATAGCAGTGTTTCTTTCCTCCTCCAATTAAGATAAGGCATGGAATCGAGCCACCATTGGGCTGTTACCTATTTGCCCACACAAAACCAAACAAAACATTAGGGTGAGGTGAGAATAATTTCAACTTGCTCTCCATTGACCACCACGATTCTAAAGGATTCTTTCTGTTGGCCTTTGTGGGATCTTAGATTTTGGAGGTCCAAGATGTCTGAGCCTAGCTGAGCTTGCAACTGTACCCCATTGTGACGGAGCACTTTTTAATTATGGTGAAAACAATGATATGTTCTTTCACAGATGGGGAGAAAGTTGCAGTCAGTCTAAGCCAAGCATCTTTGACAGTTAACAATTCTTTATTTCACTTAGATTTGTCACCATGTAGCTTTGTTTGAACTGGCCATTTTTAAAAATCTTATATTGTTGTTTCCAATGGTGAAGTTTTATAACAATGAATCTGGGTTCTAGAGCTATGTAAAGAATAAATGATATGGAGTGGCCATATTTGCATGTGTCTGTCCCCGGAAGGGTGGACTGTGATTTTATTGGATGTCTGCAGCTATTACCTTGAAGGATAAATTTTCATTTTTCATCTATTCTTCCCCATCTAGATTGTATCAGGATTAACTGTAATTCCAGTAAGTGCCTATTCAAAATTTTTAAAATGTTATTTCTCCATTATGATGTAAGATAGTCAAGAGAAAAAAAGAGAGAGAGAAACGTGTTTATAAAACTCATGAATTCACTTTTGAAGTATACCAGTCCATCATCTGGGTTGTAAAAATTCATTTTGAAATCTATCTAGTTGAAGATTTAACCACTACAGTTCCTACCTCTAACTGTCAAAGAGGTGACCAATATTTTTTAAGATGAGGTACAAATGCCTCCATGGACCTTTGGGTAAGGGAAATAGCATTTATATTTTGCCAGATCTTGGCCTCCTATAGTTCTTTTCATGACCAAATTTGGAGAACATACTGTGACTCTTTTTTCCCTTTCCTTACAAGTAGCTTTTATCACTTAACTCAAATACATAAAAATGTGTAATTCCTTTAATTTTGAGAGTTAGTATTAAATCCTTTTAGATTCAATGAGCTTTACATAGAAAATGCATTTTTCCAAGATATATATATATACACACACACAGAAAATAACTTGTCTAAAGAAGTTTTTCTTGTTCAGTAAGAGTATTTACATGATGAATTTTTACATCCTAATCATATATTTGCAAAAATAACTAAAACCCTTCAAATCTGTGATATGCATGTCAAATAATGAGTCAGAAAAGATGCATGGACTGAGTTTTATTTGATTGTGGACTAGAGGACCTGAAAGGATATAAGGACTGTGATTTTATTTTGAGTTGTAGCCTTATCTTAAGAGTAAATGCATTTTATTTCTTTACATAAATATTTAGATTGTTCTTTTCCAGGTTTTGCTGACCACATTGAGGAATCTCCTCCAATGATAACAGAGTCGTTAACTCTTTCCATAAAATGGTTCTAACAAGTTTCTAAACTCTCCTTGTCATAATCAGTAAAAAAACAAATTTATATCCTTGGAAAATGCTGAATGTGAGTTTGTGGAGTCTACTCCCCAAACCACTTGCTGTGTTTTCAAGTGGCAGTAATCCATCCATCCTCTGAGGAAAAGATGGTGATCTTAAGTTTACAAATTGAGAAGCTTTATCTAATGAAATATATACTATTTCAAACACTGTGCTTCTTATAACTCGGATTTGTCTTTAAATATTTTAATATTCAGTTAAAAGTAGCAAAAAGTGTGTCTTTCTAATCATAGCAATAAAATGGTAACTGAACCATGACTTCAGAAAAATTAAATTGGTAAACTACCATGTAAAACATTAAAAATCATCTCAAACAGAATAGTTCCTAAAATAACCTGTCAAAACTCCCACACAAGTATCAGTAGGATTTTTCAAGTATACAACAACTCCTCTTAAAGCCCATCTCTCCTTCTCTTCCACACTTTCTGAAAAGGAACACAGACTTTGCAGACCATGATTGAGCTTGCCTTCAGCCCTGGGACACAAGAGGCAGGCAAAGTTGCAATTCACAAAATAGTTTCCAAGGCCAGGTTTGAGTCTTACACTAGCTATAGATATTCTTGATTCTTCCTGAGTCTCAGGAAACCCATGTGAGAAAAATATTTCTTCTTAGACTTCTTCATGCACTCTTACAATAAGCGTGAATTCTTAAATTTACAAAATCTAGCTATGTAAACTCTAGTATTTGATGGAAACTAACGCAATGAAATGAACTTCTGTGTTCTCCAGCTACATATATACATTTTTGAAATATATGTTTGTAATCTAACTACTAGACAACCATTTGGCTTATGAGAGTCTGATATTCAGCAGTCATTTTTTCTGACAATATTGCACAGAATAATATCTTCAGGAACAAAATTTTTTGCTGGTTAGTAGAATTCCCTCCTTTTGAGGAGCATGTGTTACATTTAAGTTACTTTAATTGAGCGAATGATTGTGAGCTTTTGGTGCGCACCTCGGATAGAACTGCAAATGCCTTAAGTTGACAGCAGCCCCTGGAAAGAACATTCAATGACCAGGTAACATTTTTATTTCCTTTATCTCTGCTCTATCTGGGAAATCATGGCAGATTTAGCAAGAACCCTAAGTCCTACCAGACATTCCTGTTATTACTCAACTCTGAGGAGCGGGAAGAATTTACATATCTAATGATGCAAATTGAACTCACAGTAGCTAAATAAGCAGAAGTTTCTGCCTGGAGTGCATTTTCTATCCCATAAAAATAAAAAATATATCTACTGCAGTACAACTTGTAGGTTAATAATTTATTACATTTCTGCCCTTTGAGTTAAGTGTGTATGAAACTGAGATGAATGTATGTTTTTTAAATCACAGCCATATACCGCCACCATCTCTAAAATTTATACCATACCTAAGATAACAACTATACTGTGAGATCAATATGAAGTACCTTAACTGATGTCTTCTAAGAATATTTCCAATGGAAATACAGAAACTATAATATAAAAGGTTATCTCGCACTGAAAATTAGTTTAAATGATTAAATTTTAATGAAAACCTTCCCAAATTTCTCTATGCTTGTTCCGAAATGCTCTTTTTCCTATAATGGTGCCTTCCTCCCTCATCTCCTCCGTACCGCCGCCAACCCCCCAGTTTACAGCAAATGCTACCTGATATGCAAAAGAAATGACATATGGTATCAGACGGTCCAATCTTTGCTATTGAAGAATAGGTAGTAGGTGAGGAAGAAAGGTCTAGCTGTATGCATTAGACCTGTGTGATGATAAGAGATGGCAGATATGTTTCTTTTTCAGCCCTTCCTATGTCAGAAGTTTAGATGCTGTGGACAGGCTGGGGCACAGCCTTTTGTTAAGATTCTTTTGAGAAAGGGTAGATTTGAATTCCAAAGACCATCTCTGTCAAATTCTTTGTTGCCAAGATTTCCCCCTTATAGGAAACACTGTCAAGGGTTTTTAAGTGGAGGGAGATAGCATGTTTCCATTTAAAAATCAAAAGCTTATTTTTATGTGTAGAGAAGCTGCTTTTTCTAAAAAGAACCATCTTTGTGAATAGTGGTCATGTCATTGTCAAAACGCACGCTTTGATCTTTCAGATTACAAACAGAAGGTCCCCGCACACAGTCCCAGGCCAATCTCAGTTCTTTGATGTCCATTAGCTTATATCACTGCTAAAATATATTTGTTATCTGCAAATTGGAATTAGATTGAGGTCAGTGTTTGCAGATTTGTGAACTACGAGGGGAGCAGAGAGATGTATTATCTAGGGTTCCCCATTCTCCTCTATAGAGGATAAGAATAAAAGGGCAGTCAGATTGCTCTTGCCTCCTTAATCAACTCCTTAATTATGATGTGGAAAACAACCATCATAAAGTAAACTTATATGGAAATTGCTAAAAGAACCATCATCTTTTAATGTATAAAATTTCTTTTCTGGACAGTGAGCGGTATATCAATAAAGGTAGATGGGAAAGGACCTTAAGTCACATTATTTTGACATAAAGAAGAAAAATTATTTGAATTAACAAAACAATACATGTTGTAGAGTATTTTGTATAAATCATTATTATAGAAATATATGGGGACACAAACTATTCATTAACAACGTATTACCAAGAAAACCCAGGTCACAGTGTATAAGTACTTTTATGACCAACACATGAATTATTTGCATGAAAAGGTGAATGTTTGACAGTCTTTTTCCTACTCCATAACATTAATTGCTTTCAGAAGTCTTTTAAAGGTTACAAAGAATGCAAAAGAAAATTTCTGCTCCTTGTAAAATTTTCTCAAATGCATTATTAATAGGGTCTTACTGGCCATTGGTCTTATTCGGCATTCATTCTGCCCACCAAAGTACACAGCCTGACGCCTTAGTCATTCGGAGCTGGTGCGACCATGACCATCTCAATTCAATGCCCAAAACTTCCTGACAATAAATCCAAACTTATGAGGCCATGTTTTTATAGTTTTTTTTTCTGAAAATCTGGTCTTTATCATGGTATATTGCATGTTTCAATAGTTCCATTTTTTCTCTCCCTTTTTCTAGTAACTTTTAAAATTGTTAGCGCTATAATCTTTGAAAGTTTAAATGCACTGAAAATTTGAAAACTAACCTTGCTCCTGTCAACTATAGGTGAGTCCTAATTATCATATAAATAATTACTTTACATATGTAGTGGATGCAAGGGAAGATTTAGTTTAGATAGTTTTTTTTTCTTTTTTGTTTTGTCTTTTCAAATCAGTGACATAATTTACAGGATGTGCTTACTGCCTGCAGGAAGGCTTGAAGCCACCTCTGCATCCGTATAAAAATGGGTTTTAATAAATTCATGATCTCTAATGCTTGTTTTCCTTGTTTGCATTATTTTTGTTTTCTTTATGCCTTTACATGTGTCTCTTTTTCTTCTCTCCTGCTCTTTCTTCCTACCAAGATTTACCCTTTCTACTTCTCCATTGCCAATGCTGTTTTCTCCTGTTCTCTTTTCTCTTATTTTTAAAAAAGAACAAAAACTCCCTGGAATTGAAACAATATTTTGCTTGGCAGATGTTCCAACTATTTTTGGCCTCTCACAGAAAATGGTTTATCTAAGATACAGAGACAATAAAATAGCGGATGGCATTAATGTGGACAGTATCAAGGGCTGCAGATTATCTCCTTTTATTTTGAATTCTGTGTTAAAGCATTGGAGGGAAAAGTACTTAACCTCATATTTAACTGGGATATAATGAAGAAATGCTCCCAGTAATATGTTATTGGAAAATGTACCATGATGGATGTCTAAAGTGGGTAATAATATCTTTGTATTATCATTTTATTACCAGGAAGAAAAGATCAACTGGATATTAGTTCTCACCAGTTTGTTATATAGCTAAAAATGGAAAGCAATAAAAGATTGCAAAAGGTCAACCAGTGGCACTTAAGCCATATTAGATTGCTGTGATCGGGCTGCCACTTGGCAGGCTGCTTAGAGAGAGATGAGGAAATTTCTGAGGGTTGACCCTTGTTAACATGAAGCAAATGTTCAGTTTAGAGCAGCGGCCCAGGGCCTCAGAGCAGAGCGCTGAAACGGAGCCTTCTGCCTCTGCC